TTATATCCAAGCCAGCGTTTGACTCGATAGGTCAAGTCGCTAATCTCTGCCTTCAGGGGATTTGCAGAGCCCCGGCTGGCTGTGACCTGACAAACGCTGTCTCTGGCTCCGGAAGAAACAAGGGCTCAATCGCGTCGGTCTGAGCGACGCTGGCCATGCCGGGCAACGCGCCACCAGCTCCACAGGCAAATCCCAATGCTTGTGTTTCAGCAAGGGATAACGATGGTGGGAAATTCAGGTGAGTGGTGGGAGCAGATAAGGGGTCAGAAACCCGGCACGTAAGGAGGGGTGCCAGGAGCACTCCCTTTTCAGGAGGAGGCGGGGGCAGGGCTCCCAGCTCACCCAAGCCTGGTTGCATAGCACAGTGTAACTCAAGAGCTCGTGACTGGGGTTGGAAGCTAAAACTCAACCAAATGGGAAGTTAAGCCTTTATGACTGGGAAGAGTAATTAACAATTTCCTGAAGACGTGGTGGATTTACTACTGCTAGAAACATTTGTGTATTTGACATTTGTCTACATTTTCTGCCCTTGCCGTCCATGCCCATATGAAAGTCCCTTCTCACCTGGACCGAGGAGAGCCCTTTCACGCCCGCCAGCCCCTAAACCCCATCCCTCCACAGCAGCATCCCTTACACGTGACTCTTCCACCCAAAGCCCCTTACCAGTTTGCTTCCTGCCAAGGCACTGCCGAGCTGGCCGGGTCCGTACCTTTCTTCTTCTCCAAAAGCCGGGCTCAGCTTGGGCAGCCGCCACTCTTGTCCCTCAGAGGCAGGATGGCATGAAATCTCCTGTGGGTATCCAGGCGGCAGTTGTATCCTTGGGACGTACCCACCAGGGTGGTGCTGGGACACGGGGTCCACGTGTGTCGTCATCGGTTCTTCCTCTTCTGGCCCCGGCTGAGGAGGTTTTGTCCCAAGGTCTGGCTCAGCAAAGCTTGTCACAGCCCCAGGCTTCTCATAGGGTGAGTACCCTGTGGGACAGACACCGAGTTAAAAAAGTGGCCGAATCAGGATGAGGAATTCCTGTTGCACTGGACCTGAGGGCCCCTCCATACCCCTCTGGAGTGAAGGAAAGGAGCCTGGACACCAAAATCATCCTATGGAATGCGAGTGCACCCCACGAGTGCCATCAGCCCCATCCAATAAACTGGCCTGCACAGGAAAACTGCACAAATATCAGTTCAATAACTTAAAATTTACTCTAAGTGACACCTAAGCTGTGAAATATCATCAGCCAAGTTACAAAGATTAAGGAAATAACCCAAAAATATCTTTTTCTCTGGGTGCTGTGTCAGCACACTCCAAACACAACCCCCCCTGCATCCAACCGTATCCTGGGCTACATCAGGAGAAGTGTGGCCAGCAGGGCGAGGGAGGGGATTCTGCCCCTGTACTCTGCTCTGGTGAGACCCCACCTGGAGTCCTGCGTCCAGCTGTGGAGCCCCCAACATCAGAAGGATATTGACCACTTGGAGCGAGTCCAGAGGAGGCCACGGAGATGCTCCGAGGGCTGGAGCACCTCTGCTATGGGCACAGGCTGAGAGAGTTGGGGTGTTCAGCCTGGAGAAGAGAAGGCTCTGGGGAGACCTTATAGCACCTTCCAGTGCCTGAAGGGGCTACAAGGAAGCTGGGGGGGGCTTTTTACAAGGGCCTGTAGTGACAGGACAAGGGGTAACGGGTTTAAATTGAAAGTGGGGAGATTTAGATTGGATATCAGGAAGAAGTTCTTCCCAGAGAGGGTGATGAGGCACTGGGACAGGTTGCCCAGAGAAGCTGTGGATGCCCCATCCCTGGAAGTGTCCAAGGCGAGGCTGGATGAGGCTGGGAGCAACCTGGTCTAGTGGAAGGTGTCCCTGCCCATGGCAGGGGGGGTGGGACTAGATGGTCTTTAAGGGCCCTTCCAACCCACACCATTCTATGATTCTATGATCCAACAAGGAATCTTTGCACTGGCTTCATTGCTGCTCATCAAGGAAAGGGTCTGTTGTAACTCTAGCTGAAAAAAATTGTCTTATGTCCCCTGTACACTAAATATCTCCACCCTGAGCTAGGGATGGAGCCCTGCAGCTTGAGACTCCACAGGGACAGCCGAGCTTGGCAACTTTTGCCTGACTTTCCCTTAAAAATATCCCATGACGTGGCTCCCCAGGCTGCCCTGGCCCCATGCAACACCTCCAGCCCAGGCGCTTCCTTGTGCCCTGGGCCAGGAGCGAAGCCAACTTCCCCTCCTCGGTGGTTATGCAGCACCATCGCTCTTACACCCCGCAACAACCTTTTCCTCATTGGAAAATTGTTTCTATGCCAGTCTTGTCTTTTTTTAAACAGACCAAATGCCTTCCATTTTTGTTCTCATAGGTCATCTCTTTTTTTCAGCCCTCCGGCCATTGCAGCCTTCCCCTGACCTCCTCGCGGGACACCCATATCGCAGCGCGAAGCCCACGGACACCGTCTTCCAGCAAAGGCCTCATCTGCAGGAAGTCCCAGGGAACAACCGTCCTGGCTCAAACAGCACAGGGCAAAATTCACCCCTTTCTGCAAGGGTACAAACTTCTGACTCACATTTAGGTTTGCATCTGCTTATAATTGTATTATAAAGTGTATATATACTGCGTATGGCTTTATAAAATACGTGTGCTCTGTACGTCTCTATTATTTGGTTGCTAGCCTGGACAGCAGTTGCTAAAGACTTGATAAAAGTGATATTTTCAATCTGGTGTGAAAATTCTAAAGCAGCATGGTCTTACTATTTCCTTCATGATTAATGAAAGCATTGCATCTACCTTTTTCTTTCTACCCTGCAAACCAGAGTAAAAGGAAAAATGAAGTTGTCTTGTACTTGAGAAATCCATACGAGTTCTTCTTTGTTACCCTGGGTTTTGCAAACTTATTGATTCAGAAAGGTTGCACAGCAAGGCACTAAATTAAAAGCCAGGAGAGCACCGTGCATTTGATTTGAGCAAATATCCACGTGGTTTCAGCCCAGGGAGCGGGCGCCTGCACACTTGGCCTGTGCCGTCACCCCCTCAGTGTCATCCTTGTGATCCAGCATAAACCCTGGGTGATACCCCCAACCAACAGAGCCTGACCTCGCCTCCAGGAGAAACACAACATGGGGTTCAACTGACCGAAAACACCAATATCTTGGTGCCCATCAACGAGGCTCCACCAAAAACAGACCTTGAGAAAGTCTCCGGACGGAGTTTGCTAAAGGCAACCGCTCAGACCCAACGCTGCCGTGAGCTCTTTGATCCCCATCACGTCA